TTTACCTGCACTCCAATCTATAAGAACTGCTTAGCATAGCACTGTATTCATGTATGCACTTGCTTTATTTAATATACATAACACTAAATCTGTATAATCTCAGCAATTATATGCATTTATATATCCAATATGTATCTTTGAAGAAAGGAAAGAAAATCCATCTCATCAAACTTTAACAGAGTAACTATGATCATTCAAGATATTTAACACATCTACTAGGTTAACACAATGAACTGAATGATCTAAGTTTGCATATCATATTCACAAATATAATCAGATAAGCTTAAAACCAGCTAGAATTGCACATTATTCAAACATATCGCCAACATCTTTACAGCACATGGTGAGGCACATTGTATGAACACAACCAGTATGTAAATGGAACTTTACTTTTATCTTTGCAATTTCAGTTGGTGAATTCAACAAGGACGATGCTGTTTTTGTTTTTAATATTTAAACTTGATGAAACTTTGACCGATTCTTCTAACAGTTCTCCCAGGATGCAAAATAACAAGAGAAAGCCAATCGAATCACTTCCTATACCTGCCAAAGTCTCTCCTGGATCTTTTTTAAGGACAGTAAAGATGTTTTTTAAAGGCATCTAACCTGAAAACATGATGTATTTTGTCATATGCTTCCCCAGGGGCAGTCCTGTTAACTCCAGAAAGTCTTTACTAGTGGATTTAATTTTGTTGATACTGTCTTGAAAGCAGCCTTATCAGCAGCATACAGCAGTGCCTGCATCAGGCAGACACCTGCAGTGCAGACCTAAGCTTAGGCAACACCCTCCATATCAGGCAGGAAAAGACCCCCTCCCCCCAAAGCCCCTCTTCATGCGCAAAGACAGCTGCCTGATGTAGGTGATTAATGTGTGCTGCATTGGCCCATGGTTGGAGGGTGGCACAATTCTTGAATAGCTTTTCAGAAATAATTGGTTTCATTTGAGGTATGAACGCAATGAACCCATTCCATAACTAGAAAAAAAATAAAGGTGGAGAATTCTACGCTATCAGGGTATAAGTATGCATATGTGTTAAAAAGTGTACAAATGAGATGTGAGAAAAGAGGGCATAGTTTAAGAAATATATGAAATGCACCTGAACTACCATTCTTTATATATAATTTTTAAACTTAAGAAAATGTAAACCATTTCTATCTCTGCTTGCATTTTATAGCTATTGCTCAAAAACATCACTGTTTGCTAGAAAAGCAATTCTTGATAAATTGTAACCTCTGGATCACAGATAATAGTTAATATTCAGATCCTTCTGACAGCAGGCAAAATAGCAACCTCCCATATCTCTAAATCCTTCCTTTAATGCAGAAAGCGCTATCTATTAGAGTGAAGTATTGTAATGCAACCTTATTGTCATTCAAATCTTCAATATCCACAAAGAGCCTAATTCTCTGAGAAGTTCACCCATATAACTGAAAAGAATGAGAATGCACCTGTATAACTGAAAGGTTATTATGCATGGTAAATTATGCGTCATACTTGGGAAATACAGCATTTTAAAGTGTATTAGTCTGAAAGAAATACATTTCAAAATATACATAAAGTCACGAGTGCTTAAAATCTGCTCATCTAAACTTGACTATAAATAAAACAGCTCCATACTTAATTTGAATCTTTCTGCAGTGTTTGTTAAGTCAAGTTGATGCTTCACTCAACTAAGCAGGTAGACAATTTATTTTATGGTGCCAAATCTAGATGACAATTGAAATTGAAACTGGAAAATTAGCCATATCACCAAATTTACTTAGTTTTTTTCTTCGCCAATTGCCTTATCAAAGGCATAATAACTTTTAGTTCTAATTCCTTTAGAATAAATTCACATGAAGAAATTTCTTTTTAAAGCATGAAAATGCACTGGCTAAAAAGGAATCTGTCTTGAATTCTCCAACTGAATCCAGCAACTATTATGAATACCTTTTGGATTTAATCAAAAGACACTACTGTCAAAGAATAATGGTCTTTTGCATGAGTGTAGAAGAGGCAGAAGGATTGGAATAAGAAAATATTTAGGGTAGCCGAGACTGCAATCTATACAGATTGAGACAAGCCTAATATAAAGTAGACCATTAATAGAAGATATGAACGAGGTGCATAGCATTGCTAAGAGTGCTTTGAGGACTTTCTTCTCTTTATATCATTCAAGTTTTGAACTTCAGTATGCTAACAACAAAATAAAATCTGCTAAAATAAGCAAATCTTATTTTCAAATAAGCAGATTCAAAAGAGAGTTACTATGTCCAAAAATATTTTGGCCATACCTATGCTTGTTGCTCCAGAACAAGTAATGAGAAATAGAAAATGTGTCCTCCCAAATATTTTCTGCATTGCTTCTAGATTGGATGGCTACAGTACTGCAGTGTAGTACTGCTGTGTCTCACATATCGCTATCCATATCCATTTATTATCTTCCAATAATTTTAGCTTCTAAAATATAATATTACACTGTGGCTCCAAATGAAATGAAAATGATCCACTAAAACCAAAGTATAAAACAATATACCCCAGAGTGAGATCAGACCAAATTTAAATTTTTATTTCCAATGGCACTCTTGCCTTTTATGAAAGAAGCACAAATACAAATTACACGATATGCTTATGAACCATTTAGTTACCTTGAAAATCAACTTACATGGCTCAGGGTATCACTTTAATTCTTTACCTGATTTCATGACCCCTTCAATGTGATATCTTGGAATTTTATTATTTTCATTCTCATTATTCTTATTTTATAGGGTGGGAGAGATAAAGTAGCACTTGTGTTAATGTACAACAGGGTAAAACCAGATGTATTCTTAGCCACCAAAACAGCAATGGAGGAGAGTTTCACATTTCAGATTGTGACATTGTGACATTGCAATAATAGTTTTGATCACTGCTGTTCCAGTGAATATCAGAAGCTCCAATTCTGATACATCCCAAAAGATAATGCACATATTTTATACAGCAACGTGTAAAGTGTGATGATGATAAAAACAATGTGTAACAGGGATCAGTTACCTTAGTTCTGAGGTTACAAAAATGCATAGGATGAATGCAGAAAATTGACATTAAAATAAAATTGAATTATCTCCTCAAAATATCTAAAAGTACAAAACCAAAGACAAAGAGACCATAAATATACCAACCTTGAATACAAATAACCCCAACATTTGTATTTCCTGTTTCATTTAGTTGTAGTGTATAAACATCAAAAAGAAAAACCTCCAGATGGGAATTAAATACAGTACTGTCGAGCTGCTGAAAGACTGTCTAGCCAATGAAACTAAAAGATGATAAAGAAAATGTAAAATGAGCATGGTAATAGTTTCTAATTACAACACTGCAATATGTCAACCAAAAGAAAGGCATCTGACTGCTACAAATATTCCACATTTCAGGAGGCTCTAAAGTAAATGGGAAAAGAATTATTATAAAGATAACTTTTTGCATTCTTTATTTGCTATGAAATGTGTAGAAAATGAACATTCAATGGTTAAATGATCAGAGATTCTCCTTATAAAACACAGATTTTAAATCAAGGCAGAATTCCAAAATTAAAATTTTAACTGAGGATACCCACTTCCAGGGACAATATTGGTGCATCTTTCAATAATCTCAGACTTGGCTGTGATTTAGAAATTAGCCATACTATGGTATATGTGTATATCCTAATTTAGAAGAGATTTTCTTTCACAGCATGCAAAGAGGACATTCTGATTATGAAGCAGATATTATTTCAGATACCCAAACATGTAGAATATCCCAGGGGATTGAAAAAAGTACCTTACATTATTTCATTGATACTTATAAATCCCAGCAATTGGTATTGCCAATTATCCTAATCAAATCACCTTTGTGCTAAAAAACAAAAACGAGCTTTTGTGTTTGATTATGTTTCCACAGCCATCATTAGGTTTACTGCATCAACCACACTTACTGAACCATAAAAGTTTGTTATTTGCCTCACCAGTGCAATAGGGAAAGCTTGTCATACAATTCCTCATAAATAAGAAAGTGTTTCAGCTCACTGATAGGAACAGTGTTAAACTCTTCCAACAAAAATACATGGCCTATTGTTAGTTTAAAGCCAAATATCTTTCTTAAAAATATTTTAATTTTGATCAAATCATTTCAGTCATGAATCTGAACTTTGCCTCTGAAGCTTGTATTTTCAAATCACATGAAACTGCAATTTTGAAACATTTTTACAGTCTCCCACTACCACCCTGGATCCCTAATTTATTTTGTATTCTCTGACAGTTATATTTAAACACATGTTAACTGAACAATGAAATTAAACAAGGTTGCTTGTTTAAGTAAGCTCAGATGCAGATTCTTATAATAATTTTCTGTTCTTGTTACTCATCAGACTTCTGGAGACTTAGCCCAATTTCTTAAGGTTTTGCACTACTTTACAACCTTAATATCCAGCTGTGCAGCTGAGCAGGGAGATAACCACATTCATTTTCCTTATCTGTAATGATGTGATACATCCCAACACTGACCCCAGATGACTACAAGAATAATAGTTTGGGGGGGGGGAATTACAGAGATGACAAGCAATAGTCAATCTTTTTGTTGTTATTGCAGAAAAGTACAACTAAACAAAGAAGCATAATACTTCCAATTTTAATCCTTCCTCAAAAAAACCTCTGCATGTGTGTTGTGTGTGTGTGTATTTATATGAGAACAAGAGAAAATAAACTGAGGTTAACTTCATAATCTGTAATCAAAACGAATACCAGCAACATTCTAAATAGCTTCACCTGAAATAATGAAAGTCCTTGGGTGGGCTGTAATCTAAAAATAACCCCTTCCTGATGAAATTTGTGATTTCTCAGCAGAAAAGAGACAGCAGGCAGCTAAAAAATATTGTCAAAGGAGCAGAAGAAAATCTCCAGATGAAAGCTGCTGCTGCTCTTCTGGTTTGTACGCAAATCCTCCTTCATTTTTAGCACTCATTTGAATTAATCTTTTGGTGAGCTACAGCTAGAGGGATCCTTACCTTCTGCAGAAGTTGGGAACCTGAGTATTTCGCTGCAATAGATCTGATCTCCCCACCGAAAGCAGAAGCCCAAAGTTTTACCCTACGGAGGAAAATAGGTAGAGACGTATATTGAAAAGAAAAATGTAATTACACACTTCAATAAACAAGACCTCATACAGACAGACACAGAGAAATAAATACACGGCAGAGTCTGAACTGTTCATTCCCATGTTTTCCCCTTTAAAACAACCTAGCGGCGATTCTGAAGTGAAGACCCCAAGTCGATCTATTCTGCTAGCTAGGTAAGGCGCGAGTAAGCCCTCTTTCGGCCAAACTTGAAGAGAAACTTATCCCTATACGCACGAGAGGGAGAAATTACAGGATCTATATACGGCGGCGGAGCCTCTGGATCCGCTTTTGCAAGATCACTTATCCCTGAGCATCTCATATGAAATGGGACTGCAGTGGAAAAGCGTCTGGAGCTTGTCGGCGCCGCAGCCGAAAATTCATACGGCGGAAAGCTTGCGGTGAGGGCTTTACTGCTGTCTTCCACCCCAATTCCAAGAGCTGCCAGCGGACCCCTCGTCAGAAAACCTGAGGGGAAGCCAGCGCGATGCCCCCCGTCCAAACCACAAGAAGTCTCTCCCCACCCATCCCAACCGTTGGCCGGCGCCGGCGAACTCTTCCACACAGCCTGCGACACTCACACAGACAAGGGGATCTGCTGCTCCGAGCCGGCCCCTCCGGCGAGCCTGATGCTAGCTGCCGTCCAGATCAGAGCCAGGAGGACAGGTAGAGTCCGCAGCGGACGCCGGGTCTCCGGCATGATTCTCCTTCCTCACTCGCGAGCTTCGGAAGCGGCGGTTCTGTGGACTCCGGCCGGCTCGGAGGGCTGGCGCGGTTACGGCAAGAGAAAGGAGCGAAAGCGGGGCAAAGGCCGGCCAGGGGAGCAGTCACGGCACCATCTTTTCCCGGCTCCGAAGGAAGGAGACTTGGCACACCCGAAAACTTCCGCGCCCTTGGGGGTCGTCCGGCAGCAGCACTGCGGCTCGCCCCACGGTCGCCGCTTGGACCTTAACTCCGCAGTCGGTGGAAGCGAGGCGCTGCCGGAGTTACTTCTCGGACCTTGTGCTGCTTCGCGGCGCCCCGGCGCGGGGAGGCAGGCGGGGGTTCGACGGGGATCTTGCCGTCGACGGGCAAGCGCTGGGGCGGGAGGCGCTCGGCCGTCTCTCCTCGCCTCGCTTGCCCTCTCACTTTGCTCCAAAGGCAACGCCGCTCGGTGGTCCCCGCTTTTTGTATCGCGCGCCCGTGCGTGTGAGCGCGAGGGTGAAGGGAGAGCGCGAGCCAGCCCCAGCGCGCGTTTATTCACAGCGTCGCGAAGCTCCCGCGCAGCCTTGTTCTAGCCGACGGCGAGAGCGGAGCGAAGCTGTCCAGGGAGCGGCGTGCGCCGTCATGCAGCCCACTGAAAAAGAAAGGGAGGGGGGGGAAATCAACCCGCGAAAGCTGGCGGGAGTCGAGTAAGTTCCGAAGCCCAGACAGGTGGCAGGGTGGTCCGCGCGGGGGTCTCGGCCGAAGCTGCAAAGCACACGAGCGCCGCAAATGCAGCCCCTGTTCCCGCTGCGGGTTAGTTTCAGGCAGCGCGCGGCTGCGTGGCAGACAGCTGTTAACGCAGCCGTGGAGAGAGGGAGGGCTGAGTGGATCGCTTCACCTCTCCCGCCCGGAGAGCGGCCAAGTCGCAGCATGGGAGGGGGAGGAGGAGGAGGAAGAGGCGAAGAAGGCACGCACGCAAGGTCGGGCCCTGCCTTCCTGCGTCTTTCTAGGGTAACCTGCAGGCCGCTTGTCCGGACTACGATTAAACCACGCCGGCTGGTCAACTCACCGCCTTGTCCTTGAGTAGTCCGAATGGACCTCTCGCTTGAACCTTGGCTGCAAAGAAGGCAGATCCGAAAGATCTGGCTGAAATCGAGAGGTAGGGATGGGGGGGGGGGTGAAATGGGGGTTGTCAGGAAAGGAAATGCTGCACAAGGAAATCAATGCACGTTTAAGTGGCTGCTGGAGCCGAGGAATAAATTATTAATTTGGCCCTGTGGAGGAATCCCCTTATTAAAGGATGGGCAAGATCTTAAGGTATTGCTTTGCAACTGTGCCTGGGACAGACTCTGAAAGAAAAGGTTCTTTTTTCCTTTTTCTTTTTCATTGAGCACTTGAGATAGTCCTTACTACTTTGCCCTCTTGGTAACTCTTACCTTAAATACAAACAAAGTTTCCTGCCAAATTGTAAATAAGCTACCAAAAGGTAAATTGAAGCTGAAGTGGAACTGGGCTGAGTCATCTTGGGGAGGGGAGGGGGGAAAATGCCCGGAGTGCTAGTATTGCTTTAGAGAAGGACTCTTTGGAAGTACAATCTGCAAGTCAATGTTTCTCCTCCTCCTCCCCTCTCCTGATTAAAAATCTCCCCCTTCCTTTTCAACATGCTGGTCATTACCTACAGTGCAGCCAGCCAGCCTTTCTTGTCTTTTTAAAAGGGATGCCACCTCAGGAGAAAAATAAAAAGGTTCTGGCAGTGCACATTTATGGAACGCATTGGACATGCACAATTCAACAGTCCTTGCTGATGCTTTTATGTGATGAAAATAACTTTTTCTTCCCATCTTTCATTTGAGTGACAAGTTGGGAGCACGGGAGAGTTGCCAGGCTATTTTGCAGAGCAGCACCATCAACATCTTCCTACTGCAGCCCCGGCAGTGAATCCATGCTCTTTTTCCTTGAGTCATGCAGACAGGTAGAGAGGAATGTGAGTGTTCTCAGATGTCTCCGTGCCAGAAACCAGAAAAGCTCAGAATAAGTTTGAGATGCTCCAGTTATTATTGTTTGGCAACTCTGTGCATGACTGTCTTGTTAGTTTTCATCTGAAGTTAAAGTGCTCCCACAAAATCTCATACTAAATTGTGTTTCATTTTGTTCCTTAGCACTGGTGTGCATGTTCCCAGGTTGTGCTTTTGCTATCTATACCTTTAACAGGGTTCTGTTACAAGGACCCTTTACAAGGATCTACGAAAAAGGTGTGAGTTCAAATAAAATCAGCACCAGATAGTATGTCCAAGGATGATCCCAAGCCTATACAGCATATGATGTTATGCGGGTTTCAAGGTAAGATGGTCTCAATATCCAAGCCCTTTGTTATCGACCTGCGTTAATGAGTAAGGGCAAAATGAAAGATTGTGGTAAACAGTTTTTTTTTAAATTAGGAACAATTTATCTCAATTTAGACAGGAATCCATCTAAAGTTCATGACTTTGGGCAGCTAAAAATAATTAGAAGAGTATGCAAAGTATAAAAATAACCACACCTATATGATCAAGCAATATATTCAGCATAACAAATCAATACAACAATTGTACAGGCAATAATATTTGTCAATAGTCAAGAGCTTCTGGGGTTTTTTTTCTTTCTGTTCAATCAGGGACTACTACCTGGACAAGTCCCTGCCATTTTCTTGGCAAGGTTTTTTAGAAGTGCTTTGCCATTGCTCCTTCCTAAGACTGAGAAAAAAATAACTGGCCCAAAGTTACCCAGCTGGCTTTGTGCTTAAGGTAAAACTGGTAGATAGAACCCATGATCTCCAGGTTCCTTTCTAGCCTTAGCCATTACCCCAAACTGGCTCTCAAAGGGCATATGGTGCATTGTAATTTTCAGAATTTTTCAAATGAGGGATTGTTATAGTGCTGAAGCAACAGTCGCTGCCGGAACAACTGGAATGTTAAATTGCTACAATCATAGTAGAAAATAGTTGCAAAAGTATAAATGGATTCAGCTTAAGTTAGCCACATTTTGGTCTTAAACTAAAAAATAAGACATGGCAAATTCAATGAAATAGCTAGCTCTTTTATAGCTTGTTATCCTAGTAATAGCTATGTTTGCTTGAAATAGCAATATTTCATACACATGAGAAGTAATATGTTAGAGCAGTGTTTCTCAACCTCGACAATTTTAAGGCATGTGGACTTCAACTCCCAGAATTCCACAGCCAGCAATGCTGGCTGTGGAATTCTGGGAGTTGAAGTCCACATGCCTTAAAATTGTCGAGGTTGAGAAACACTGTGTTAGAGGCTATAACCGCACTATGCAATTGTGAATCCCACAGAGAACCTTTTTTTTTTTTTTTAGAAAAGATGGAATGCTTAGGATTAAACTGTATGCCATTTTAAAGACATACATATCCGTAGTATATATTACTAAAACAGCCTTTCATACACATTTCTTCCATTGGACATTTGAGGCAGACAATTTCTTAAAATTATAGAAAGGTGAACTTCAGTTAAAACAGATCTCCCTGATATTGTTCAGAGAAGATGCCCTTTCTGGAAATTGTGATATTAGGTTAGATGGGTACTTGTTGCTGATACTGTTGATCAGGGCTTTTTTTCTCATAGAATGCCCAAAACGGAGTTCCGGCACCTTTTTTGGATGGAACCTTATAGGGTAGGCAAGGCAGGTTGTATGAAATGTGTGAGTTCCAGCACCTTTTTTTTCTTTTTACAAAAAAAGCACTGCTGTTGATACATTATGAATTTTGCTATGTCAGTACACTTGAGAGACTATGAGAACAATCAGGGAAGGAAAGGAATTCAGCAAGTGTAAGAAGAGGCAGCCCACCCCAGAGGTGGGGAGTGTGAGACAGAAATATTTCAGAAAGACTCCACTTTACCTGGCTTACTTTAAATCAGGGGTGTCAAACTGCCAGCCTACAGGCCAGATGCATCTTGCCGAAACCGCACCCACCCCATTGCCGGCAATGAAAAAAAAGTTGTGATATGTCATGTCGCGACATGTCACGTGATGTTGCGAGTTTGACACCCCTGCTTTAAATCTATGAGGTGTTAAAAGTTTTCAAGATTTTTTTTCCCATTAAAGATGCTTGTCTGAAATTCATGTGATTCCCACTTCTTAACATCACTAGCTAAGTGGTACTTGACAGTGCTTTAGACTAGACCAGCTTTTCCAGACTGGTGCTTCCACACATATTTAGACCACAACTACCAGAATTCTAGGCCAGCTTGAATACATGGTTGGATGGCATTAATTTGGGGGGTGATAGACTGGACAGTAAACTGTATTCTACTCAAATCTGGAATGAAAGAAATGAGGTTGACTGATATGAGGAAAGATATGGGCAATCCAGTACAGGAAATACAGAAGAAAATTCTCTTTGATGTCCAAGAGGTAAAGATGAATGAAGAGATTGGGCTGATAGCAGGGAATAGACTATCTTGGTAGTCTAGTTGGCTTCTTCCAGTTAGTTGGCCTCTTCTAATAAGGGGCACAGTGGCCAAGCGGTTAAGATGTTGGGCTTGTCGGCTGAAAGATCAGCAATTCAAGACCTAATTACCGTATGACAGAGTGAACTCCATTTACTTGCCCCAGCCCTTGCCAATCTAGCAATTTGAAAGTGTGTAAATGCAAGTAGATAAATAGGTACCACTTCAGTGGGAAGGTAACAGTGTTCTAGGTACCTTTGACATATAATCATGCCGGGCACATGACTGTGAAAGTCTTTGGACAGTGCTGATTTTTCCACTGAATCGGAGATGAGCACCACCCCTAGGGTCAGACACAACTATCAGGGGAAACCTTTACATTTTACCTTTAAAATAGTGGACTTTCGTCTTTAGTTTAATTCAATGTAGTCTACATAAGTGTCACAATGTAGGGTTAAAAAGGTCCTCCCAGGACATAATTTTAAAGATTCGTACACAGTGTTGTTTTTAATACTTTTTAAAAAAACACAAGGAAGTCATAACAACTAGATTTAAGCTACTTTATGTATTTAATGTACACATCCTTATTACTTTTCAGATGGATTACTATAGCACACTTTACCTGAGGATGCCCTTGAGGGTAACTTAGAAATTTCAGCTGGTACAAAATGCAGTGACTAATATAGTAGCAATATTGCAGCACTACATTAGCTGCTCTGAATATTTCTGGGTATAGTTTATGGTCCTGGTTATGACCTTTGAAGCCCTCCATTGCTTTGGTCCAGAATACCTTAAGGACCATCTTCAGAGAGAATCTACTATAATGGCACCACCCATGTGAAATTTGCCTCTTCCTAAAATTTGTTGGACTGCTATGGGTAAAGTACCAAGACTCGCCTTTAAAATATGCCATCTGGATTATAACAGTAAACAAAAGTTGCTATTAGCTCTTCTTTTTTTTCTTTTTTTTAAATTTTTATTTTTCCTTTTTTTTTACAAACAAACATAATACACAATACATTTTTTCTTTTCCCTTAGCAATACTATGTCCTATATCTCTTAAGTTTATTTACATTTATTTACATTACTTCTCATACATTTCTATTTCGCAATTCTAGCCAGTTATAGTACATGTCCCATACCTCGTAAAATTGTGTAGCTTCTTTGTCTTTTATTTCTAAGGAAAGTTTGTTCATCTAGCACAGTCTAATATCTTACATACAATCATTGCATTTGTTGGTATGTTCTCCCTTTTCCAACATTGTGCATATGCAATGCTTACTGCAGTTATAATATGTATAATGATGTATTGGAGTCGTTTCTCTATTTTTTAGGTTAATTATGCCTAATAAAAATATTTCAGGTTTGAGTTCAATTTGCTGTTTTGTTATTTCCTGTAACCATCTTCTTATCTGCTCCCAATAGGGCTTTGCTTTGGGGCATTGCCACCACATATGATAAAATGTTCCTTCTTTGTTTTTACATTTCCAACAATCCGGATTCATATTTTTGTATATTTTAGCCAATCTCGTCGGTGCTAAATGCCATCTGTAGAACATTTTGTATTGGTTTTCCTTGTATGCAGTTGACAACGTTAATTTGTAATTTATGTTCCATGCCCTATTAGCTCTTAAAGGTATTTATGCTAATATTATA